ACCATTACTTATTTTGTTTTGTTTTTAAAGGACCCAACTTAACAATAGAATGGAACTTCTTCAACTACAAAAAAAACATTTTATGAGGTTAAATACTGTTTATATCAACTTGCAAAATGGGGCAAAACCATTTTTTTTTTGCCAGTTATTTCTCAGTCAGAGGACTAATATCTAGAATATGCAAAGAACTCAAAAGAAAAGACCACCCAAAATAAAAGATGGGTGACTGAAATAAACATTTTTCAGAAGCCCAAATGGCCAATAAACATGAAAAAAGTCCAACATATCTGATCATCAGGAAAATGCAAATTAATTCATCTTATAGCAGAAAAATTTCATCTTATAGCAGAAAAAATGGCAATCATTAAGGAATCAAATAATAACATGCTGGGATGGCTGTAGTGGAAAGGAACACTTCTGTACTGTTTTGCAAATGTAAATATAATTCAATACACCCTTACAGAAATCAGTGTGAAGATTTCTTTAAAAATCTAAAACTAGTAATTTCATTTGACCCAGCTATTCCTCTTCTCAATATCTTCTCCAAAGAGCTGAAGACATTATTTGCAGTGATACATGCATACCAATGTTTATAGCAGGGCAATTCATAATAGCTGAATCCTGGAAGCAGCGTATGTGTCCATCAGTACACAAAAGGATAAAGAAACTATTAGTACTTGACTATAAAGAATTCAACGAAGTTTTTGGATAACATTGTTAAATGAAATAAGTCATATGCAACTTTAATACTGTATAGTTTCTTTCATTTCAGTAATCCAAAGTACAAGTAATGAGCAAAAATTGAAAGACTGAATAAAAGGAATCAGGGAAATCTTTTGCAGATGGGAAGTGGTCCAAAAGACTGAGGGTCAGGAGAGTAGGGTAGGATAAGCAGACATAAAGATTTTAAAAGCCCCCCCCCCCATACATACACACACACAGAATCACACACACATATTGAATGTAATTGTTTTTGCAAATATGAAGTAAATAATAATGAGAATGAAGAAAGGGGATCCAGAAATAAAGGGAAGGTGAGGGATAGAGGGGGAAATAAAAAGAATGAAGATATATGTGAAGTATGTATTCCAGCTCGGTAAACTTGATTGCAGACATGCAATTTTAAAAAGTCATACTAATTGTAGCAGATTGAACAGTTTCCTTCTAAGATCAGAAACAGAACAAGACCATATACTCACCACTTCTGTTTAACATTGTTCAGGAGCGTCTAACCAGGACATTTAGGCAATAATAAAAACATCCAAATGCAAAAAAAGAAATAAAATTATCTCTGTTTACAGATGATGTATAAAACACTAGTAGCGTTACTAAATGAATTCAAAGTTTACACTTTTAGAAAAAATTTTGGAATCTGAATAGTGAAAAATATAAACATGTAATTAAGAAAGTTCTCTAAGCATCAAAAGGAAAAAGATGCTTAGAGATTAAGAAATGTAAAATTTGCATACTATAAATTATCAAACATTGTTGACAGTGTAAATAAATGCATAAGAAAACATCTCATCTTTGTAGATTAAAAAATTTAATATTAAAATTTAATATTAAAATTTAAGATGACATACTCCCCAACATGATAAACTGATTGCAGTGCGTTCTGCATTAGAATCCTAGCTGATCCTAAAATTCATGTGAAATTTTAGAGAACCCCTATTCCTCAGACTAACCTTTTAAAAATAAATTGAGCAATTTACATTTTACACTTTTAAAACTTTATACTACAGTGGTGAAAAATAGTGTGATAGTGGCATAATAGAATTGAATTCCAGATGTGAAACTTACAGTCAAGGATGTTTGACAAGATCCCAAAACAATCCTGGAGAGAAAAGAATCTAAACATACGTAGGTGCTGGAATAACCAGTTACTTGAAAGAGACAAGTTAGACATTGTATGACATATGCAAAAATTAATTTAACATGGATCATAGGCCTAAAGTAAGCTGTACAAATGTAACAGACACTCTTAAAAACATAGGAATAAATCTTTATGACCTTGAGTTAGCTACATTTTTTTATGACACTAAAAGCATAAGTGATGAGAAAAAAAATAAATTGAAATTCATTAAAATTAAAAGCTTGTACTAAGTGCTATAAATGAAATAATGAGAAAGCTCAGAAAATGGAAGAAGATATTTGCAAGTCATATACCTAATAAGGTACTCGATCAGGATATATCAAGAATTTTTGCAATTTAGGCCAGGTGTGGCTGTTGTATACCTGTAATCCCAGCATTTGGGAGGCTGAGGCAGGTGTATCACTGTGAGTTCAAGGTCAACCTGAACAAGGCCCTGTCTACACAAAAAGCAACTCAACAATAAATAGCTCAGTTTTAAAATGAGTAAAGGATTTAAACGAATAGTTCTCCAAAGAATGTATTCACATGATCACTAAACATCTGAAAAGGTAAACATCAATCATCAGGAAAATACAAACCTTAAATCATAAGATACCACTTCTCATCTAAAAGAATGACTGAAATCAGAAAGATAAATTCATTAGTAAAAGTAAGAAAAGCAGGAAACAACGTTAACACAAGAATAAAATAAAAGTAGAAAATTAAGTTCATGTGGAGAAATTGGAACTCTTAAACTTGCTGTTGGGAAAATAGTGTCACATCTGCTTTAGAAAATGGTTTAATACCACCTCAAAATGTTAAACATAGTTAACATGACCCAAAAGTTCTAGTCCCAAGTATATATCCAAGAAAAATGAAAATGCATATCTACACAAGAATTTGTTCAATTAATAGTATTACTTACTCATTATAATAGCCAAAATGTAGAAGCAGCCTAAATACTGAACACATAAAATGGGTAAATAAAATGTGTCATAATCATACAATGAAACTTCCATTTGTCAATAAAAGCAAGTAAGTACTGATGAATGCTATAATATATATATAGCTTAAAAACTTTAGGAGAAAAAAGGATTAAAACAAATTTCATTTAGGTGAAATATGCAGAATAGGCACATCTGTAGATAAAAGGTAGTACAGTGGTATAGTGGCTGCCAAGAGTTGAGTGTGATAGGGCTATGGATGTTGAGATCAGTGTCTACGTGTTCCTTTTGGGTGTAAGAAAATGTTCTAGGCCAGGGATTTAGCTTAGCGATGTAAGTGCCTGCTTGGCAAACGTGAGGTCATGCGTTCAATCCATGGCACCAAAAAAAGAAAATGTTCTCATATTAGATTCTGGTGATAGTGATTTACACCTGTGAATAAAAACCATTGAATTTTGTATTAGTAGGGTAAATAGTAAGATAGATGAATTATATCTCAGGCAAAGTACATAAAAGAAAACAAATAGTTTTAACTATAATCAATACAAATCACCTAAGTGATCTATATATTTCAGAATCCAGGTTGATAGGATTGATAATTATTTGATTGAAGAAAGAACATGTAATACCTTCTTGGTGGTCAGCTGGTTGCTTAGTTGTTTTGCTTTAGAAAGAAACCTGAATGCCACGTTAAACTAAGTGTAGATAGTTGTTCAGTGTCTGACTTAAACTGATTGTTGAATGAAAAGTGAAGTAGATTTTATGCCATATGGTGTCTAATTTTAAAAGTCATTGAACAGTGAAAATGTAGTGCAATGAAAGATTTTATTGAACTCTAATTGATGTCCATTTTTCAAATCTGTTAAGTGTTAAATCTGCATCAGAATTAACATTATCTTATATATCATTCATTCTTTAAAAATTACTTTATATTTAACCTGTTCTTTAGAGACTGTTGGCAAGTACATTCACCAACGTTCTCATGATTTAAAAGACTTAAAATACTTAGAAAATTGTAACGTATTTCCTGTGTTTTATATAGAGGTGTCTCAGTGTATGTGTTTAGAATTTTTGAAGAAATAACTTGTGGATTATAACATGTTTTTCACTCCTTGATTCCTTTTTACTGTGGCAAAGTGTGTCCTATTTTCTTATCTAGAGCATGTTTATGTATTTCATGATGAAAGTAAATGTATGAATCTATGCATTGCAGTGATTTGAAGTAAATTACATACACTGGGACTTAAAGAACACTTAAAAGGGGTACTTTGCTTTATGCTACTCTTTTATTCTTACAGTCACCTGGTTACTTAATACAGGCCCAGAATAAGTGTACAGTATTATCCCCTTAATAGAATATATCTGCAGACTAGAAGTAGATGCTAGCAGCTTGGATAATTTTACTGCAGCATTTTGGAACTTTTCAAGGACAGAAACATTTTGGTGCACATTTTATATTGCAAACATGTTTTGAGTATACCAGTATTGCAGCAAAAAGTACTGAAATGTTTGCACTTAGAGAACATGCAATACATTATTTTTTGTGGACTAGTTATGATCTGTTAATTTCACAACCCTTTAAAGGTTTACAGTTTGTAAACCTAGGAACGGAGTTAGGAAATCTGATACAGTATATTCTTTTTGGGTTTTCCTTTGTGATAGTCCTTTAAATATACTCCTATTTTGTGTCTAGAGAAAATAGATCTCACATTAGAAGAACAAAAATGCTTCTCAAGTCTTTGGGATTTACCTCAGCAACATGAGCACCTGCCTGGCAAGTGCAAGGTCGCAAGTTCAATCCTCAGTACCAAAAAAAAAAAAAAAAAAAAAAAAAAAAAAAAAAATTCAAGTGATAGTTGAAATTTAAAAAAAAATTTTTTTTAATTTAAAAAAGCATTCTGTCTGAATTGACTTGCTTGTGAACCAGTATATTTAAATACTCAAGATAAATTTTCCTCAAGTAGTTTAGTGTACCTGTAATTTCAAACAAAACTCTTAATTGGAAAGTATGGATAAAATCCACATAAATTACAAGTTTGCACACATTTTGCTTTTATACTTTTGTGAAGATAAAAATTTTATCCTTATTTAAAATAACCATTAAACTCATGTTTTATTTGCTGTTATTTGTCTTTATGCATCTGTGATTTTTACTTTGAATGGGGGAAATTTTTCGTACAAATATTTCACCAATATTTTTACAGGGACACTTAGTCCGCCTGGATGAACCAGCTTCGGGAGCTGGGCAAGAAGCTCTGCTTAAACAAGAGCAAGCAAAAATCATCCGATTCGAGAAACAAGCAGAGGAGTTCCTCAATGCAGTCTTTTATAGAAAAGGTTGGTTTCAGTGAAGAGTGACATTTAGCATCTGCTTGCCTTGTATTAACTCCTTAAATCTGATGTCATTTTAAAGTTGTTCTTAATATTTTCTTTAAATACGATATACTTCCTATTTTTCTGTATTTCTTTGATAAACTTAAATTTGGAATAGAGGTAAGGCAACTCCTATCCCCCACCTTTAGCTTTGAAGTCATGATGAGTTTTAAATAGTTCAGAAAACCATGAAACTGCAGGTGTTAAGTTCTCGGGAATTCTGTATTTTGTGTGAGATTTTAAGAATATAAAATTTTTGTTTAAACCACTAATAACTATAAAATTTCAGTATTTTCAACCTATTAATTTTATTTGGAGAGAAAATGTGGTTATCTCTTATAGGTAAATTTGCAAGCATTTTTCCCTTGATTACAATTGTATTTCAGTGTTGTTTTGTTTGTTTGTTTGTTTGTTTTTAATTCCTAAAATTAGGGAAACAACTCATAAGGAAACTTGTCAGCATACATTTAAAGTGGCAAATAATAGCTCTACCTCTTGGATTTTTCAGGTGTATCTTTCTCTTTTAAACTTGTGTAGGCTTAACACTTCTGTTTTGGGGTTTGTTTTGTTTTGTTGTCTGTTGTATTTATTTACTACTCTTGTTGCTGCTATTATTACTTGCATGATAAGGATTGAACCCAGAGCCTTGCACATGCTAGACAAGCACTTTACTACAACTACATCCCCAGTTGTCCCACTCCCTCTCTTTGCCCTCTTTCTCTCTCTCTCTCTCTCTCTCTCTCTCTCTCTCTCTCTCTCTCTCTCTTTTTTTGGAGGTGGGGGAGTATATGGGAATCAAACTCAGGACCTCATGCTTGCCAGGCAGGTGCAGCACCACTGAGCTAAATCCCTGACCCCTTCTCTCATTTTTGATACAGGATCTTGCTGAGTAACCCAGGCTGGCCTCCCAACTTGGCGATCTTCCTTCTTTAGCCACCACATCTGACTACACTTCTTTTAAAAGGTAGAGAGGCGCCTCTAGTTACAGTGTTTCAAGATTTAGAAATCCTTCATGGAAATATTCATTTCTTCTATATACAAAGCGTAACTGCCATTAGCCATTAGTAAACTTGCTTTCAGTATCCATTCCAGTGAAGAGTCTTTCCTTTTCAAAAACATTATTTCTCAATCTGTGTCCAAGGTAAAGATTATTAATAAGATTCTTTAAAAAGTATCCTACAAACACCTGATAATCTTGAATGGTCTTAATTATTACCTGACTCAGGAATCTCATTTTCTTTACTATGTCTTCATATGTTCTTGTTAGATTTCCTATTCTTCTGGAAATTCCTTTCCCTCTGAAGTTCAAAGGGGTATAATTTGATTGTACCTTGTTTAAAAATCAGAGTCTTAACATTAGTTACATTCAGATAACAGCCAGAGTTCTGCTTAATGTGATGAGTATTTTCAAAAAGACACTTCCAGGTGAAGTATCATACCAAATTAAGGGATGTACAGATTATTGTTGTGGGGGGCACATTGTTTTTCTTCCAGTAAGTCTCATGCTTTAGACTAGTCTTACTTAATTACTGGTATCTTCTGATCTGAGTCTCTCAGATTCACTTTATCATTTTAAAGGGCCCTGGATTCCAAAATTATTTTCAAAGCACTCATTTCCTTAGTTTTATCAACATATAATTGTTTTGTTAATTCTACTCACATTAAAGGTATAAATTGATTGGTTCTGTCATTTATTAACTAAGTATATAGCTCCTTTCCTTTGGGATGTATACTAGTCTGGTATGTTATTTTAAAAAGTTGTTATCTGAAAAGCATTATTTCACCTAATTTACAAAGTGCAATCAAAACATAAAGTGTTTAGAAATTTTAAAGTATTACAATAAAAGGCATTCATATTGTTAAACTCCTAGAATACTCCCCCTTGTTTCATACACATTTATTCCATTGCCCCTTTCTGGATCAGTTCTGGAAGCTTCTTTTGCAAATGTCTTCTAGCTTTCTTATGGCTGCTCAGTGTCCTGAACTGATTCAGAATGCTTACCTTTAACTTTTTAGGAAAAAGCCAAAGATGTATGGTCTCAGATCCATGAATAAGGCAGATGAAGACACACTATAGTTTTTTTACAAGTTTACCTTCCTGTTGTGTAGCACTTGGCAGCAGCATTCACTGTATTTTGTATTAATGCCTTGAAAAGATGGTCTTATAAGAGGACTTCTAAAACTGATTCAGAGAGTGATGGATGTGTTTGAAGATTAATGGCAGTTTGTCTTTCACTCTAACAATAAAAAAAAAAACATTCACCATATATTCTGATCATATTGTATACATGCAGGAACCACTTTTGATCCTTTCTCAGCCTCCCCCATCTCCACCCCTTTTGATGTTTTTTTTTTTTTTTTTTTTTTTCTTTTTGTATAACCCAAGCTGGCCTCTGACTCTGGCGATCTTCCTGCCTTAGCCTCCTGAGTCCTGGGATTACAAGCATTTGCTGTTTGGCCTACTTTTTCTTTAGGAGTTGTTAAATAGATTACTCATAAGCAGATTCCTACAGAGAAATTCTGTCTTCTTTCCTAGTCCCATTCCTTTGTGATAGAGAAGTAAGCTAAAGTTCTCTCATGAGCTTTATTAGAAGTTAAACAATTTTTAGACATAAAACCATTGGGAAGCCAGGCACGGTGGTGCAAACCTGTAATCCCAGCACTTGGGAGGCTGAGGCAGGAGGATCACTGCAAGTTCCAGGCCAGCTTGGGTTGCATAGCGAGATCCTGTTTCAAAACAAACATACATTTATTAAAGATAGGAAAGAATAGTGCTCTGGAGAGTGGATACAGGCTAACTAAAGGTAGAGAAATAAGTACACTCTGTAGAGTACAGAACATACCACCAAAAGAATTTACAGTGGCCTCAAGATTAATGGCTGCCATCTTTTGTATCCTTTATTCCAATGTCAAATCTAAGTTGTTGCATCAAAAACCTATTTGACTTCATGCTAGAAGAACTGAAGATAGCTTTCTGTGATTGAGCCCAAGTACAGGGATACATATTTATCCTGGATCTGGCTGGCTAAGCTCTAAACTCCTGCCTTATTTCCCTCTGAGAGACAGATCCTCACAGTTCTTTATAGGTGCTAAAGGTGTGGTGGTCTCTGTCTTCAGCTACTTCCAACTGAAATGGGCTGTAAGCTCTGCCTACTGGGAATTATGTTCTTTGTAACTACCTTAGGATGTTGTGCCTTACCAGCTGGGCTACAAAAAAACTGTCAGAAGATTAGTGAGAAGTGTTAGCGCCCACATAAAAGAGATGTTGAGCTCCTTATTCAGTAGGAGGAGAAGCTTGTTAAATTTGTCTGGAGAGTTGTGGAGTTCATGTATGAGAAGGACCAGATCAGAATATTTCCTGAAACGGTGGACTATGATGAATGTAGCTATTAGGATTTCTGTGCCTCCTGTGGAGGAGAAAGTATGGCAGAGAGCGATATTAGATACTCAAGAGCCTGATATTTGTGACCTACCTAGCCAGTTACCCACACTGTGGAGTATTGATAGAGGTGCCCATTTAAGCTTGATGGGTTAAGGGTCATTTAGCTTACTTAGTGATTACTTACTTAGCTGTACTCAGAGGAGTACTAGAGTTTTGCTTTTTGAAAAGAAGCCCCATGTCTTCCAGAGGTTCACAGGCATGGGTGATGTTTTTTTCTTCAGGTGGGCCTGGATTTATCCTCCTTTGCCAAACATATATTGTCAGGGGTTAGGGTACCACAAGATCCTTGTAGAAATTGAGGTACGTGTCCTGAACAAAGAATTGGTCAAAGTGAACACAAAAAAGTAGGAAGGTTTTACATTTGTTAAAGGCAGGAAAAAGGTATGCTTTGCAGAATTGAGTGCAGGCCACTGAAAAGGTAGTGGTTTTTTTTGTTTTGTTTTGTTTTGTTTTTTCCATACCAGGGATCAAACTCACAACTCCTCTTAATAAAAGATTAAGTATATGGTTTGATATTAAGGGAACTAGTACAGCATTAAAATCGGGAGAGTTTTAATTGAGTTTTATCAATAACCATCTACAGATTCATAGAGGCCGTTTACTCTTTAGACCACATTTCACTTTTTTAAAGAAGTAATATATTTGATTGTTGGGTTTGTTATTCATATAAATCAAATGCACACTTTACACCAAACAAGACTAGGCATACAAAAGTAAATAGATAATAGTCTGTGCCCCTAGAAACCTTTATCTCTGATAGCCTAGTGTGGTAATTATAGTCATGCAAATAATATATTTGTACAAATCAGTTTTTTATTTCTCGCCGTATGGGGGATCGAACTCACCACCTCATGTTTGCCAGGCAGGCACTTAATGCCGCCGAGCTAAATCTCCAGCCCTAAATCAACTTTCTTTTAATTTTAGCTCATTTGAATTTGAAAATTCTAAACACTTGCAAGTTCATGTGTCTTTATTTTAAACTTACATTGACTGATAACTTAGGTGTTTATTTTCTTACTTTTTGGCTGCTCAGTTAATAGAAAAAACTGATGGAGCTGGACATTGGTGACACATGCTTGTAATCCCACCTACTTGGGAGGCTGAGGCAGTAGGATAACAAGTTTAAGCTCTGTTTCAAAATGAAGAGGGATCCAGTATAGCTTTAAAAAAAAAAAATAAAAATAAGCAAGTGTGTGGTTTTCCTTTAGCTTTTGAGATTTAAGAGCTTTCAAAAGAATTCTCATGAACAGTTGAAATGTGATGCCTATTGTCGTAGCCTAAAATTATATTTGTATAATCTTATTGTGCCTTCTGTCTTTAACAGGCAGTAGATTAATACTCATGAACTCAGTAACCCATTCTTCAAATATTTAGGAGGAAATGGTTGAGGAAAAATCTAGGGAAAACCTGATGTGACTGTAGTCGCAGGGGGTACCTACTACTTAAGAGAAAGGCTTTAGAGGTTTCTAAGGTTTCTATATCAGGTAAGTAATTCTTGTCTGTAAGCTACATAGTATGTATTATCCCTTTATTTAATTTCATAATCCTAGGGGAAAGATGTTGAGAAATACTTTGATGAAAAATTTCAGAAATCTTGAACTCAAACCTAAGAGATTGAAAATATAAGTAAAATGGGAGTAATTTTAGGATATTGCATTCTAAAAATAATGAAATTTTATGTTTTCTTGAAGGGTTTTTTTTTTTTTTTAAGTACATTATCCCACTTTAAAAGTAAATAAATCTTTGTTTACAGACAGTCCCTGGGTCTCCGACCCCAATTTTCCCCTAGTGGCCCGAGAGATCATGCAGCGAATGATCCAACAATTTGCTGCTGAATATACCTCAAAAAATAGCTCTACTCAGGACCCCAGCCAGCCCAATAGCACAAAGAACCAAAGCCTGCCGAAACCATCTCCAGTCACCACCTCTCCCACGGCTGCAACTACTCAGAACCCTGTGCTCAGCAAACTTCTCATGGCTGACCAAGACTCACCTCTGGACCTTACTGTCAGAAAGTCTCAGTCAGAACCTAGTGAACAAGGTATGGTTTAATGTTACAGTCTCCTGTACCCTATCAGAAAACTTTATTTTTGGGAGAAAAAAGTATTGGCAAGTAAGGTACCAATAGCAATAATAGTATTAAAAACTAATGTGATTCTAGTCACATTTGACAATCCTCACAGCTACTCAGGAGGCTGAGTCAGAAGGATCACATGTACCCAAGACCAGGCTGGGCAACACAGCAAGATCATATGTCTTTAAAAGAAAGGAAAAGAAAAGAGGGGAGGTATAAAAAAAAATCTAGTGTAATACCTAAACTATGTTTGTCTATACAGTGGTAGAAAAGTACAGATAAGAGTCATTAAACCCTTACTCATCAGTAGTCAATAGTCATGACTGATGTGTTCCACCAAAAGAAGTCAGGTAATTAATTGTTACTAATCTTTAAATTTTATGATATTAATATGAGCATTTTGTATTTTCTAAAATAATTACATTCATTTTTAAAACATCCATGAAAAAATTTTCTGTGTTTTCTAGAATTAATATCTATGCAAGAAATATGCTTTTACTTGTTAAATTGAAGTTATATGTGCAAATGAGATAAAAGGAAACGTAATTTTTCCTGTTTCATTTGCAATTTAAAAAAAAAACAGAGTAAGTAAACACAGGAGCACACCTGTACTCAGGAGACTGAAGCAGGAGGACTGCCATGAGTTTGAGGCTAGCCTAGATTGCATAGTGAGTTCAAAACCATAAAAACCCAAAAGAAAGTAGAACACATTTTAGTTGATTAATAAATGCAGAAAATAATATATATATACATGTTGTTTTTCAAACTAACCTTAAAGTATTTTCAAAGTGGAATTTGTTAGTGAAAATCCAAATTAATGAAAAGGTTGAGGTTATCAGTATCATGTAGCAAAAATTTCTTGAGTGTCTGAAGTTTAAGTTAATTATATATACCTGTTACTTTGTGATCTCATTTGACCTTTATTTTACAAAAATGAAATATTTAAACCCACTTAGTGTTTGAATCTCTACAAATAGTTATAAATTGGTGACATTAATGAGTTTTTTTTTGTTTGTTTGTTTTGTTTTGTTTTGTTTTGTTTTGTTTTTGGTACAGGGATTAAATTTACAACCTCACACTTGCCAGGCAGGTGCTTATACTGCTGAGCTAAATCCCTGGCTCGGTAATGAGATTTTATTGTCATAGAAGTTCCAAAGTTATGAAATAATGTGAATTTATTGGTGTGAAATATGTTTATTTTGAAAAGAAAATGTAATTGTGAAGAACCTCATGAACGAACTTTTTTGGGAGCTGGGGATTTAGCTCAGCGGACAAGTGCCTGCCTGGCGCAAGCACATGGTTGTGAGTTCAATCTCCAGTACCAAAATAAAGAGGGACTTTTTCTTATAAGGATAAAGATTTTGTATTTGATGGACAGACTTTTTAGTTTCTTATTAAAGATTAGACAGTAATCGTAGAGTTCCCTGTCCTGTCCCATTCCCCTTCCCACCCCCGCACTCCCTCTCCACATTGTGGTGAACAGCAAACACAGAGTCTAAATAGGAAGAAATTTTCCAGTAGAAGATCTCCTAATTGTCTGATTGAGTGAATCCCAGTACCTTTGGTAACCATATTTGCAGAGTTGTGCCTTAGAGTTTTATTGAAAATTGTTTTCCTTGCAAATTGTTTTCCTTGCCACAGGTTGGTAGTTTTCATTAAAAATCTTATTTGCTCTAAATATTACATCAAGCTGAATATGGTGGCACATACCTATAATCCTAGCTCTTGGGAGGCTGAGGCAAGAGGATCACTGCAAGTTTGAGGCAAGCCAGACTGAGTTCATGAATAAATTAGGAATTACATTAATTACTCTTTTCTTTTCATTTTTTAAGAGATACTATCTTGCTGTGTTTTCTAGACTGAGCCTAGGTTCAAGGCCAGCCTGAAATACATAGTGAGATCTGTTTTTAAAAAAATCAAGAAATTAATATTGCATCAAAAGCTTTAGGTTTATAATAGGAAAATGGCATCACACACATGTTTTTAATAATAATAGAAGCTAACATACAGTGATTTTACTTAGTCTTATTCAACTCCTAATAGGCAATATTACACTTAAAAGATATGTTGTGTTAATATTCTCTTAATAGAAATTTAGACTACGATGACTGCATTATAGAGTGTAGACTTCAAATGAAGCAAAAACATTTAAAATCGTTAGTGAATTTTAAGAGATTTAGTTTGTCACAATATTGCAGTAGTAGAATTAAAATATTTAAAACAAATTGGCCCTTTGATATTGTCTTCAGTTGGTAATACCTTAAGCAGTACATTTTCCTCTTCAGATGTCTAGTTGGGCTAGATATCTAGTAGAATGCTTGGTTGTATAAGATTATAATTCTATTTGTACATGTACTAATGACTAAGCTTTTTCTGCATGAGAATGCACTTTTATTTATAAGTTCTTGCATATTTCTTTCTAACACTGAAGTCAAGCATTACAGTGTTCTCAAGGACAAGTAGTAAGTAGGTTCTTTCCTGGGTTAATAAATTAATGTAACTAGACAGCAAAACCTTTCTTACTGGCTATCTGAAAATCAGACACATTGCACGTATCTTGCTTTGTTACTTTTGATTGCAGTGACAGCTTTACAGAGTTGTCCAGACCAGTGGGCATTGTGATGCATGCCTATAATCCTGGGACTCTAGGAAGCTAAAATGGGAGAAATGCAAGTTCAAGCACAGCCTGCGCAGCCTAGTTAATGACTTATTGAGACTTTGACTCAAAGGAAGGACTGGGGACATAGCTCCGTAAGGCCGAGGCCGGGGATTGCAAATTCAAGCCCATCCTGGGAACTGAGGGACATATTGAGACCTATTCTCAAAATGAAAAAGGACTGAAGCTGCAGCTCAGTGCCAAGGCCCTGAGTTCCCAAATAACACCAGACAATGAGATTTCTTTCTAGGTATGTTTATAATAGGGAAAGTGTCTTTGAGGGATAAAGGTTTCTAATTTATGTATTATGTATTAATAATAAGAATTTGTAATTTGGTGTAACTTCTAGGTTACACTTTCAAACGCTTACTGTATCAAGACTATTTCATCCTTTAACATTACCCATCAGTTTTGATACCTTCTTAAATTTAAAAAAAAAATTATGAATTTCAGCACTTGAATTTTAAACCTCTGTAAATTTTTTGGAAGATGGGATCCACATAACACATTTTTCCACCTGTATCTACGGAATAATTTGGATATACCTAAATTATAAGCTATTTACAACTGGTTCATCTTACAAACATTTATTAATTAATTAATGTTTACTATATACATGTAATTTAACCGTATAAACATATTTAAAATTTTTGCCTTATTTAAAATTTTCTACAACTTTATGTACTTTTGGGTTTCAGGTACATGTAAGTCTTGAGGAGTTTGGGTGAGTTGAGTTTGTATGGCATTTTAGGGCTTTAGAAACTCATATTTCAACCAAAGTAAATTTAGAAAATGAAATCTAATAAATTCTAGAGCAGACTCTCATTCAGTGTAATTGCTGTTTCCAGTATCTCATTCACTGTATTTTAGCATCTTCTATAATATCTCTTACCTTTTCTTTTGCTGTGTTAATAAAATATTTAATCCTTGGAGAAACTGGACATATGATGCTTTGCTGAATTTATAATTCAGGAAGAAAAATGTCTTGATTTTATATTGAATTTAATTTAATAACTCATATGATGAAGGTATTTACTTGGTGTAGGCCTCCGCTTTTTCATTTTTAGCTTATTCAGTTCACAGTCTGTTCACATTTTAATATCATCAGGTGTTTCTTTATGTCTCTACAGACGGTGTACTTGATCTTTCCACTAAGAAAAGTCCATGTGCTGGCAACACTTCCCTGAGCCATTCTCCAGGCTGCTCTAGTACTCAAGGGAACGGGTAAGGAAAAGTACATGTAGCCTTCTACAGTCTTATTCAGATAATTCATCAAAGATTTATTCCAGTCTCCCTTGTATATTTAAAAACTTTGGAGTAAGAGTCTTGTAGGCAGGCCTTTTGTAAAATAACTTCTAGTCCATCAGTCAATTAAAAATACATCAGTGCAAGCTAAAATAGACCAATTTTGCTAATACAAATATTGAGCAATCTTGAGCTGAGGTGGTGACACATGCCAGTAATCCCAGCACTAGGAAGGCTGAGGCAGGAAGATCACTATGAGTTTGAGGCCAGCCTCGGCTACATAATGAGTGCAAGAGAAGGCTAGACTATATAGTGAGACCTTGTCTCCAAATTAATTAATTAATTAATTAAATGAAACAATTACGAATGTGGTTAAGAATATATGTTTGGGTTTTTGGTTGAGTGTTTTGGAGTGTAAAACCCAAGCTAAATGATTGTGAAGTTTAGAGGTAAAGACAATAGTAATATGTGTGCTGAATTTATTGACTGAAAATTGGACTCCATTGTTCACCTGGTATTATAATAGGCTTTGTGTTTGTGTTCATTTTTGTTTTGATTTGGTTTTGATTGTTTTGAACTGCAGTTTTAACATGGGCAGTTCCAAAAAATGGTTTGGTTTTGGTTTTGGTTTTGGTTTTGGTTTGTAATGTGATTATTGCCAAGACATGACTACATGCTCAATTTGATAACTTAACAAATTAAAGTGATTTGACCACCTAATTTTATAGTGTAAGAATTGTCTTCATTCTCCCTATATATATTTAGTAACCATTCAGGAAAGTCAGATATTAATGAAGATATTTAGATTAAAGGAACAAATGGGCACTAAATGGATTGATGTTTTTCCACCTTATTCTTAAATTATTTTCAAACTGAAACACTCCCAACTTTCATCATTTTCCTTTTTCTCCTCTTTTCTGTTCCATCTAAAACTATTAATTCATTTTTCACAGTATATTAATTTTTAAAGGGCGTCTCGTTGTTATATAAGTACAGGTCCCCTGGTCCTGAGTCACTGGGATTCCACTTCTTTATCAGAAACATTTGAGTTGTGTAATGAAAGATGCATATAGTAGAAGCCCAAATATAGTTTGCATAAATGAATGCCGTGCTTAAGATTCAGCTTAGTTTTGGCTCGAAGGCTGGTCATGTATTACATGGTTGAAGTTGCTGTGTTATTCCTCTGAAAAATGTTGTTTTCTACTTGATTTTGCCTTGTGGATGACAGATGTACCAGCTGTACTGTGCCTATCTTGTAGTTGAATATTCAGTGCTATGTTTACTGTGTTAATGATGATAATAGTCCCTGTAGAGTTTTGGAGAATATAGCTGGTTTGACATTATTTCTACAAAGTTCTATTTGGGGGGCCTCATTAAAATATAACTTCCCCTTGGGCATTACTTTGCCAGTTGCCAGTTTTATGATTGATAACTTTTCTCTGTTATGACAGTGAAAGCTATATGAATTCATTTAGTGTAAGTAAACAATTTCAAAGCTATCTTTGTAAAATTTCAAAATAGACATTTAGTATTTTGAGAAGTTTTTCTTAGAAAAAAATGATACAAAATTGTATAGCTTTAAATTGCTTTTAACTGTGAGTCACTCAAATCACAAATAGAAAATCATGATACTCATAGTGTTTTAAAAGGAGGGAGTGGTAAGTTACAATGCTGTGGATCTTTTGCTTTCTTTCAGTTTGGTATTTTCTTGCATTGGGGCTGGATGCCATAGATACATTTTTTCCCAAGTAAAATAAATGTTATTTGGAATTGTTCAATTTTTTTTTTAATGATGAACACCAATTTGTTTGTGTAATAAGTGAGCGTTATCAGTGGGTTCTAATAGTGTAAGTGGTCCAGTTTTGTAACCAGTTGTTGTGAATGTTGAATACATTGCATTAAAATAATTTGACTTACTCTTTTATTACTGTACTTGTTTAGTGGTAACGTCACGTTGGTAACACAATTCTGTATAGATCTATGGAGACTGATGATTACTTCCTAATTAATAATTAAGGTGCTATTTTCAGTTGCGCGAAACTTTTTCTCCGAAAATTTGTGAACCCAACCAGAGACCAGCCAACAGGTTTAATTTTTCTTTGCCCAAAATGCTCCTGTTTTTTTTTTCTTTTTCTTTTTTGTGAACAAGTTTTAAAACTAACTGCTGAGACTATTTTTTTTTAATTTTAGAGAAAAATAAATAAAAAACACAAAGTGATGTTACCCAAGCAAGGCCTTCTAATAAAGGAGTGGTCCCCTCACCCATCCCTCCCTACCTGTGCAAGTCCTGCTCACATCAGTTTCCTTCCATTCAATTAGGCGACCGGGGAGACCCAGCCAGTACCGCCCAGATGGACTTCGGAGTGGTGATGGGGTACCTCCAAGAAGCTTACAGGATGGAACCAGGGAAGGTTTTGGACACTCCACATCACTTAAAGTTCCACTGGCTCGATCCCTGCAAATTAGTGAAGAACTATTGAGCAGAAACCAATTGTCCTCAGCTGCCAGCCTTGGGCCATCTGGATTACAGAATCATGGACAACACTTAATATTATCCAGGGAAGCCTCTTGGGCAAAGCCACATTATGAATTCAACCTCAGCCGTATGAAGTTCAGGGGAAATGGTGCACTCAGCAACATCAGTGACCTTCCTTTTCTTGCAGAAAACTCTGCCTTTCCAAAAATGGCACTTCAAGCAAAACAAGATGGAAAAAAGGATGTGAGCCATTCATCTCCTGTAGATTTAAAGATACCACAAGTTCGAGGAATGGATCTTTCTTGGGAATCTCGCACTGGTGATCAGTACAGCTATAGCTCTTTGGTAATGGGTTCACAAACGGAGAGCGCGCTTAGTAAAAAATTAAGGGCTATTCTTCCAAAACAAAATAGAAAAAGCATGTTAGATGCTGGACCTGATTCTTGGGGCTCAGATGCTGAGCAGTCTACCTCTGGACAGCCATATCCCACATCGGATCAAGAAGGAGACCCTGGCTCCAAGCAGCCTCGGAAGAAAAGAGGGCGTTACAGACAGTACAACAGTGAGATACTGGAGGAAGCAATCTCAGTGGTTATGAGTGGAAAAATGAGTGTTTCCAAAGCTCAGAGTATTTATGGGATTCCCCACAGTACACTGGAGTACAAAGTAAAGGAAAGGCTGGGCACTTTGAAAAACCCTCCAAAGAAAAAGATGAAATTAATGAGGTCGGAGGGGCCAGATGTTTCTGTAAAGATTGAATTAGATCCCCAGGGAGAGGCAGCACAAAGTGCAAATGAATCAAAAAACGAGTAGGAATACTGTAGAGTGCCAATTACTGTACAAACTGGGTGAGCACTACTGCATCATTGTTCAACTGTCATTGTTTGCACCTAACTTCATTACTGTGACACTAGTTTCTTTGCAGATTTTGCATTGACTTGTGTATACAGAGGTGAAAGGTGCATTCTGAATGTTGCATATTTTTAAATTTCCATGTGCAGTATGGCTCGGAATATTATTTGGCCTTTTGCATGTTTCTCTACAAAAGAGAATTGACTTACCTCACAGAGAACAGATTCATGGAAGTGGACTCCTTGCCTGTAGAGCCTGCATGCTCTTCCCCCTCCCCTTAAGTTATGTTTGCCTTTACTTTAAAAAAAAGAAGAGGAAAGGCCCCCACTAGAAAAATCACCTCTGTCATACTGGGAGCTTTATCATTGCAAATTGAAAAGCCATCTTATAAAATTACATTTTTTTCTTCTACAATTCAGCTAATTGAAGGATTAAGAAAAGAGCAAAATGAACTTTTGAATTTAAAATTTTTCATTATTCAGTGATAAATATTTATTTGGGTCATTTGTAATTGTACCTTACAGTTTTGTTCTCACTATTAAATTTACTTAAGAAAGTAGCATTTTACTTAGTGCTCACCCAGAGAGGAAGGAGGTAGGAAATGTGCACACACTACCTTCAGAAATGCTTCAATTAATTACTTTGAACACTACCTTTGCTGTAATTTTGTTTGAGATTTTCTAAGGATAGAATTTGGTCTCACCAACAAGTGAGAATATAGCCTTATCTCATGAAGGACGAGCTCCCTTCTTCCTCAGGAGCAGTCAGGGTACATTACATGAAACAGTGGAGGATGCCTCATTTTAATAAACTAATTTTCTTGGTATTTTTCAGTCCCTTTACAGACTTGATTGTATGCTAACAATTGAGTATTGTTAATGGCAACTAGTTTAACTTACTCAAGATCTGGTTTTGTTCTTGTTTTGTTTTTTTGTTGAGAGGAATGGAAGAAATAGGGAATGAAATACTTGTAAGGAACTATGGTATTACAAAAATGATACTTAGGTTTTACATCCTCAGTAGTCTGTCCATTACTCACATTGGAGAAGGATCTAAGTTTATGGTAAGAAAATACAATCCTAATGACCTAATATGATTTAGATTGCTTATCAATTGTAACAATAATCAGGAGTTAGCTCATTGGAGTGTCTTCTTTAATCCAAATGTTAGTACAAGTACAGGGGAGCTGGTTTTTGGTTTTTAGTTTTGTTGACATGAATTTTTGTTTTCTTGGCATCCTATATAATATTTCCATCTTTTTCTGATAGCTGATATTTATGGTTGATTAGCACACATTTCAGGACTTTTGAGATCATGTTTGTATAAGCACTCCTTGAAGAGTATCTAGGCCTTTTTTGAGATGGGCTTGCAAAATTACAGTGATTACGTTTCCAAAGTTTGTTTTGCATAGTTTTTGTGTGGATTTCTGATAAAACCCATGGACTTTTGTGTGTGTGTGTGATCAAATTAAAACTATTCTACAGAGCAAAATCCACATCACATCCACACTATTCTTCTAATCTGCTGAGAAAGGTTGCTCAGGCCTTTCTAAATATTTAACCAAAACTAAAAGTCCTTGGAGTTTCTGTGTAAAATTAAACATGGAGTGTTGATTAGACCAAGGTTGGTGATTTCAGATGTTTGCTAACAA